GCATAATACAAATGCCTGATGTCTCGTCTTCCCTTTCGGCACTGTTCCTCCTGTCCTGTGGATGGTTGCCCGTATCACGCTGTTTGTCTTTGCTCTGGATTCCTCCAAGACAGGTCACTGTCTTCAATAACACTTACTTGAAACGTGAACGAGGAAGTGGCTCTGCCTGCTTTCCTCTAACGCCATCCTGGGTGTGTCCCCAGGAAGAAAGCGACACTGTCCTCCCACGCTTTTCCATCCCATTCTTTGCTCCTCCTGTGAAAAGAGTGACTGGAGGGGAGGCTTATGAAATTTAGGGACATCGGAGCAGAAGGGGTCAAGGAAGTGGGTTTCTGCTGCCAGAAAGCAGGAGCCTGAGCAGTATTAGAACTGCGGGGAGAAGCCCACAAAGGAGAGGGGATGTGCTGATGGTAATGTTCCCAGAACGAAGAACAAAAGGTTCCTCGCTGGAAAAAGCAGACCAGAGACAATATTTGTCAGAGACACATGTTTAAGCATTAGGAAGAGAAGGATCTTGATGCTGGGGTAGACAGGGAACCAGGAAGCTGATAAAGACCATTCCAATTGTTAGAAAGGGCAAGGGCAGGGCTAGGGGCAGATGGCACACAGCAGTGTAACACAGCGCTATGACAGGCACTCTCACATGACAAGGTTCCTAGTTCGAGTCCAGAGACCTCCCTGGGTACACCGGGCCCTGGCTGAGGCTTCAAGGCCCTGTTGTGGTGCTCCTTCTCAGTCTCTGTCTCTCTCACTCGTGGAAGAGATAAATAAATAAACTTCTTTTAAAAAAGCCGGTGAGAACCATTGCAAGGTCTTCAACAATCCAGAGAGGTGGGAGAGATGTTGGTCGAAGGATACAAAATTTTACTTAGCCAGGAAGACTAAATTCTAGATCTATGTGATGACTAATTAATAACAACGTACAGTATACTGGGAAATGTCTAATAGTTTAAGTGTTCTCACCAACAATAAATACAGGGAGACTTCAAAGAGGTTGTGGGAAAATGGAATTAAAATGTGAGCCTGGGGGCCAGCAGGTGGCATGGTAGTTAAGACACTGAACTCCTACATGGTCACCATAGTCCAAGTCCTGGGCCCAGTGGCTTGAAAATCATGCCAGATGTCAGCTGGCAGTGTGGTGGTTGAGTCACTGGACTCCCACACGGCCGAACACGGTTCGAGTCCTGGGCCTGGTGACTGACTTTCTCCCTTTCTCTCTCTCTCTCTCCGTATCTCCCTCTGGTCAGATTTTAAAACAATAATAATAAATAAAATGTAGTAACTATTTCCTAAAAAGAAAAAAAGGGAAAGGAAAATCATGCTGAGCCCATGAGTGTTCATGTCCAAAATTCCAAGAGGAAAACTGAGGAGAAGGGATTGTGGCATGGCCATCCTCTCCTCGGCGGTGGTCTCTCACTCCCCCCAACCCGTCTCTCTCCAGCAAGCTCATGCACCCTTTGGGAAAAAAAAAAAAGAAAGAAAAAAAATCTTATTAAAAAAATGTGGGGGAACCAGCAGTTAGCATAATGGCTATGTCGCTGGATTCCCATGTAGTCAACCGCGGTTCGTGTCCCGGACCCGGTGGCTTAAAATTCATGCCGGGCGCATGTGCTTGTGTGCCCAAGATCCCGAGAGGAGAATGAAGGAGAAGGGATTGCGGCGTGACCATCCCCCCGGGATGGTCTCTCTGTCTTTCTGTCTCTCTGTCTTTCTGGCGAGCGCACGCGCCCTATAGCGAAAACCTCTCAAAAAAAAAAAAAAAGTGAGCTTATTTTGGTGCAAGAGACTGAAATCTATGCTTATTTTTTATTTTTTTGTAGTATATGTTTTTGAAGACCCTTAGTGTATAAGGTAATGCTGGTGTTAATTAGCTCGGTTTAACCATTCCTTAAGTAAGCATATATCAAAACATTACGCGGGGACACCATACATACATGCACTTTATATTTGTCTATTAAAAGTAATCAATAAAAATTTTTTAAAAGAAAGGTCCTAAAAGCCTGGACTTTCAACCTGTTGATTAAGGGAGCCGCATCTCACATGGCTAACCATGGTTGGAATTGTGGCCCTGGAGGCCTGAAAAATGCACCGAGCATGTGTGCATGTGTGCGTGTGTGCGTGCCTAAAATCCTGGCAGGCTGGGGAAATGGAGGAGAAGGGGTGGTAGCATGACCACATCCCATTGGGGGGTGCTTTCTCCCCCCACGACTCTCTCTCGAGCACACACATCCACTGACGATTACAAGAAAGTAAAAGAAAGGACCTAGAATATTTAAGAGAGAGGTGTTTTTTTCATCTCTTTTTTATTCGCAATTGGGAATGCATGTGTAAGTAGGAAAGAACGGCACCTCAGCAGGGCCCATCGCGCTGCAGTCCTCTTCCTCGCCCCTCCAGCTCATCAGGATTTGGGGCATGCGCATAAGCACCTGGCACAATTGGGGTCAATCAAACCAGGGATCTGGGATATGGCTCCCACCACTGCAGTTCAGTTTGCTACTAACGGCGCTGCCAGGCTGGGCCTGAAGAAGACTTCGCTTTCAATGGCTAACATTATACAATTTAGTCATGCAATTAATGGCAGCCCATTCATTAAAATGTTTAAATCAGGGGCCAGCAGGTGGTACCGTGGTTAAGGCGCTGGACTCCCACATGGCTGACTGTGGTTCAAATCCCAGGCCTGGCAGCTTGCTTTCTCACTCCCCTACCACCCATTCATTCATTCTGTCCCTCTCTGGTCAAATTAAAATGAAATAAATAAACGAATGAATAAAGTTACATAAAATAATTCTTAAAAAAAAGTTTGATCCAGCTTTCAAACGTACTTTTTCCTAGGAAGCATGAAAAACATGCATGCAGAAATGCAAACCTTCCCAAGGTATGAGTGTGTTCTCACACTTGTAGTTCTGAGGCACATGACAGACTGGACTGATTGAAAAATAAAGCACAATGTCTAAACCGGGTGCATCCATTCCTCCCCAACCGCACCCACTTGTGGTGGCTCAGTTACCCAGCATGGGAGCCTGAGGTGGGTGTGGCAGCCTGGCTCCTGTGTGGCGTCTCACACTTCCGTGGAGACCTCACACTCGTGTCTGCATTTCTCCTTGACCCAGACTGTTCCGAGGATATTTTTAGCCTGGCTTCTTGGCAGTTTTGCAAATGCTTTTCAAGATGCTCACGGGCATGTGTTGAGAACTACTTGGTAGAACATTGGGGAGCTCCCCCGAAATCTGCTTCTGGATCTTTATTCTTTAGCCATCACCCGTCTGGCCGTCTGGCCCAGTTTTGCTTGCCAACATGCTTGGGTACCAGAAGCCTAGGCGGGATCCAGCATAATAAATCAACCTAAACTTTGGCATTAAAATAAAGAAAGCTTTTAAAGATATTACCTTTTTGGTCATTAGGCAGGAAGTCAGTTCTCCAATGGACTAACCTTCAATTGACTTTAGGTGGCTAAGCGTATGGCTTACAAAAGCACGAAGCCTTCACCCTCCGCAAGGGCAGGCTAGACTGGAGTAGGGCAGGACGGCCACAGAAGGAGCGAAGGTGCCCATTTGACACCCGCGGGAAACGCGTAAGCATGGAGATTCTTTTCTTCTCTCTTGACGGGGTTTAGGAAATATGGCAGCAAGGTAAGTGGAAGTTAGATGGAAATCATTTACTGGCGCTAGGTAGCAAGGCCATTTTAAGGGATTGAGAGGCACTGCAGTCACTTTCTACGTACTGTGCTCACAAGCACTTTCCCATCTGAGATGTGGAGGAAGAAGAGAGGTGACAGTCATGTGTCACTTAAACACAGGCACATGTTCGGAGAAACAGGCGACGTTGTCGTTGTGCAAACATCACAGAGCACACTTACACGGCCTAGATGGGCCAGCCTATCACATGCCGAGGCTGCGTCAGGAGCCCATTATAATCTCCCGGGACCACGGGCGCGTGCGTGGTCTGTCGTGGACCTGAGTCATTGCGTGGTACAGACTGCAGACCTGAGGGGAGGAAGAGCACTGAGGAAGGAGTGACTGAAAGTGACAGGTCAATCCTTTTAGACCTCCATTTCCTCTTCTTTTCTTTTCTTTTTTTTTTTAGAATTATTTTATTTTACTTTATTTATTTTAATTTGACCAGAGAGGGACAGAATGAGAGAAAGAGAGGAATAGAGAAAGCAAGTCCGCCAGGTCTGGGACTCGAATCGCAACGCCCTTAACCACCATATCACCTGATGGCCCCTTTTTTAGAGAGAGATTTTGGGTATAGGGCGCATGGGATCACCAGAGAGACAGAAAGACTGAAAGTGAGAAATCACCCCCCCAGGAGGGGCATTGCCACGCCACCATCCCTTCTCCATTCTCCTCTCAGGATCTTGGGCACGCATGCACACATGCCCAGTGTGAGTTTTAAGTTAGCAAGTCTGGGACTCAAACCACAGTCGGCTATGTGGAACTCTGTGACGTAACCATTACTCCATCTGCTCGTCCCCCATTTCCTCTTCTCCTAAACAAGGGGCTTAGGTGAAAATCTTAACACCTTTTCTCTTTTTGAAGGGCATCAGAGTATATTTGAAAAAATTGTACCACACTGTCCTTAGTGACCAGCGTACCAATGACTCCGGCTTTTTTCTTAGGCGTTAAACTGCAGTGTTTTTATATACTGAAATGTTTTAGTAGAACCAAGAACATGAGAGAATAAAGATCATAGATGAAAATGACGGTAATAATTTTGATGTCCTGCCTTGCAACATTAATTTAAACCGCTTATACATAGCTGGCATTACAATGTTATGTAGTTATGAAGAATGAGGTGCTCTTAGAAGTAGGCAGTATGGGACCAGCAGAGATGGCATAGGGGTTAAGGTGCTGGGCTCCCACAGGGTCAACTGTGGTTCGAGTCCCATGCCCAGCGGCTTCAAACTCATTCCAGGCACATGTGTGTGTAAGTGCCCAAAATCCCAAGAGGAGAATGGAGAATAAGGGATCGCAGCATGGCTATCCCCCTGAGGGGTGATTTCTTGCTTTCTGCCTATCTCTCTGGCAAGTAAAAATCTCTCAAAAATAAAGAAGGAGGCAGCATGAACTTGCACTCGCTTCTACCGCGATCTTCGGTGTTCATCTTGAAGCTGTGTCCACCTGGCGAAGCACAATGTAATGCCCTTTGAAGCTCTCACACTGTGAGCTTCTGCAGGTCCTCTCCAGTTTGTGAAGAATTTTATTCCAAACAGTGACTCCTGGGGTCAGTACGGTTGCACCACGAAGAACTGGCCCATCAACCTTCTCCGTTCCTCACAGTGGAAATTTGGCCTCTTCTGGTGCTCAAAGAACAGCTCATGGCCAGAGGAATCCAGGCTCGCAAAAAAACGCTCTCGGAATGAAATGGAAAACTTTTCTTTTGGTGGGGCTGGGAGAGATGGCGGGGCTGCAGAGGGACAGAGAGAAGAAAATACAGCAGTAGAACCGAGACCTTGTTTTTGGTTTTTTGGAGAGGTTTTTGCTATAGGGCGCATGTGCTCACCAGAAAGACAGAGAAAGACAGAGAGACAGAAAGCAAGAAATCACTCCCAGGGGGGATGGCCACGCCGCAATCCCTCCTCCTCCATTCTCCTCTCGGGATCTTGGGCACACACACACACATGCCTGGCATGAGTTTAAGCCACCGGGTCCAGGACTCGAACTGTGGACTACTACATGGGAGTCCAGCGACATAGGCATTTCACTAACTGCTGGTCCCCTAAGACCTTGTTTTGAGAGAGCTGAGCTGTTTGGGGACTTGGAGGGGAGGGGAGGAGGCCAGCATGTCTGGCTGTCCACGGAAGAACGGGGCCTGTGCCACTGGAAGGTTTGGCAGTGCCGACACATTCCGTCACGCACCTAGACAAATCACAGGGGAGCTGAGAGGTGCCGACCTCATTACGAGCCTCCTGCCCAGATCTTTAGTGTCCCTTTCAGACACAAGGCAGATGACAGGGAGGGCAGACCCATCTGCTCCCTCACCGTGATAGATGGCGTGCGACGCTGCGGAGAGGCAGTCACTTGGGCTGAACACATGGCAGGAGCTTAATCCAACTGTCCCCCGTCACATGCTGGTGCCAACTACCTGTTCAGCACTGCCCTTCAACACCCGGAAACCTCACCGCCTTGTCCTTTTAGCCAATACGAGAGGACTTCCGAAACTGGGGAAAAATGGAATTAAAGTCCACATTTATTTTGGCACAGAACATAATTCTGAAATGCATACGTAGTTTTTTCATAACACGCCTCATCCGTGAACTTTTCAAAGAGCCCCTCATATATCAGGACCGGTCCGAGCAGCTCAGCCTGGACGCGGAGCGTGGGATCGGGACCAGACCCGTTCCTCCCCTCACGGAAACTCCCACTTGTTCTCCCGTGAGTCATGACGTCTGGGACATGACGTCGGCGTCTGGGAGCGTGGTCACCTGGCCGGTAAGTGGATGAGTACAGGGAGTCTCAGAAAGTGTCAGGCTCCGTGTTAAGGCGGGCTGTTGCTACCACTGCCCCCTGTTCAGAGTACGGCTGTCATCCCAGCCTCACTTGTCACTCAAAAGATGTCCCTGCTCTCGCCACCTGGAACAGACATCTTGCTTCTGTCTGCTTTACTGGTGGCTGCCTCACTCCCTCCCTTGCTTGAAAAGAGTCTTTTCCCCCGCGGAGGTCTCGTTTTCCTCTCCCTTGACTGTGACATCAGAAACTCTGCGGTTCGGCTCCACGGTGCTGGAGCAGACAGCTGATGGGCAAGGAACTGCTAAATGACATCACGTAAAATCCAGGGCTGGCCTCTTGGTAGTCAGAGAGCTCCCTTCACAAGTTGGCAGTGTTGGGGGCCAGCAGGTGGCGTGGTATTCAAGGCGCTGGATTAACCACATGGCTGACCAGAGTTCAGCCTGCAAATTGTGACCTGACAGCTCACAAATCATGCCAGGCGTGAATGCACATGTGCCCCAAATCCCAGAAGAGTGGAGGGGAAGGGATTGTAGCGTGGCCATGCCCCCTGGGGGGTGATTTCTCACTGTCCCTCTGTCTGTCTCCATCTCTCTCCAGTGAGCACAGACACCCTATGGCAAAAAAAAGAAGAAAAGAACTCAGTTGTACTGCTTCAGGCAGCCCCCGTTCCTGAGAGAAAGGGAAAGGCCTCTAATGCTGCTCCCTAGCCCGATGAATACAATGCCACCCCCCACAGAGGGAGCACTCCGGGCCTGCATCACCAGCCAGGGAGAGCTGTGATGGTTCTTCTCCGGAGACGGGGGGCCTGCCAGCAACAGGAGCTGGGCTGCACCAGTCCCTTCTCCAGGACCTGCTGGACCCCAGCCATGTCTTTTAGTTTTTAAATTATTCTCAGGTTTGTGTGCTCAATGGAGAGAGACCGAGAGGGAGAAAGCACACTCACGTGGGGTGTGGTCACGCCACAATCCCTTCTCCATTTCTGTTGGGATTTGGGTACATACCTACATGTGCTCCTCCGGTATTTCAGGCTGCCAGGGCCGAGACTCAAACTGTGGTCAGCCATGTGGAATCCAGTTCCCTTAACCACTAAGTTACAGAGCTGGCCCCAACTACCTCTTGTTAGAATACAGGGGATGGGGCCAGCAGGTGGCATGGAGGAGTGCTGGACTCCCACATGACCAACAGTGGTTCGAATCTCAGACCTGGCGGCTTGCTTTCTCACTTTCCCTTTCTCTCTGTATCTTTCTGGTGAGTGACTATAATAAGGTTTTAAAAATAATAATAATGGTGAGGGCCAGTAGGTGGCGTAGTGATTATGGGCACTGGACTCTCACACGGCCCACTGCGGTTTAAGTCCCAAATCTGACAGCTCGCTTTTTCACTTTCTCTCTCTCTCGTCAAATTAAAATAAATAATTCTTCTAAAAAAAAAAACTTTAACAATAATGATGAATAAATAATAATTTTTAAAAGAATGTAGGGGGACTTCAAAAGCTTGCTGAAAATGGAATTGAAATATGAGTTTTGGGCCCACATGGTGGTGCGGCGGTAAAACGTGATGCTCTGACCCACAATCTCACGGCAAAGTCTCCTATCCCAGGCCAGAGACTTCCCTGAGGATACCAGGCTTCCCCCGTGCCCACCATCTAGACTGGCTGAGTCTGGAGGTGGATGGCAGCGTCGAGGCCTTTTCAGAGGGTCTCTCTCACTAATGGAAGAAATAAATTCACTTTTTTTTGAGCATGAGTTTAATCCAGGGCAAGATTTAAAAATCCAGGCATGGTCTTTTCATGCTGCACATTTCCCTGGAAGTATGGAAGACCCTCCTGTCTGCACTGTGTGTGGCAGAGCTGTGTGTTCTTCCCAACACTTCTGAACTTGGCAGGGAAGCCCCTGACTCTGGAAGCCAGCGTGTGTGGGGGCTGCCTGGCACGAGCGAAGGTGCCAGCCTGGCGATCTGGAGCCGGGGGCTCCTTGCCCAGCCCTGCCTCTTGCCTGCTGTGTCACCGTAAGCAGTATCCCCTCCTCCGCCCGATCCACAGCAGAGCTCACCGACATCTGTTGGAGACGGCTGTCTTTGTCCTGTACTAAGAATTACAATATCCTAGACAGAAAATGAACTTGAACCCAGACAGGGTTCTAATCCCGGTTCTGCCACTCCTCACTGTGTGACCACGGGCAGGCCGTTCACCTTCCCGGCCTTAGTATGAGGGCCAGTGCTCTTCTACTTGCAAGCACGTCTTTCCCTTTAAAGAAGGGAAAGTAGGTCTTAAAGGTACAATATTATACCTCGGGCCGTGTGAGTCCGTGATGCAGTCGGCCTGGGACTTTAAGAATCCTTATGTACTGGGCCAGCAGGAGGCTCGATGATTATGGTGCTGGATCCCGCATGGCCGACTGCGCAGTTTGAGTTCCAGACCCACTGGCTTGAAAAAAACACATCGGGCATGTGTGCATGCCCAAACTCCCGAGAGGAAATGGGAGGAGAAAGAGTTGCCCCCTGGGGGTGATTTCTCACTTTCCTTTTCTCTCTCTCTCTCTCTGGTGAGTGCACACGCCCTGTGGCAAAAATAAATAAATAAATAAATCCTTGTAGTCTGACAGTGAGATTCTAATTTGTTCATGGATTCGTAAATCCTGAAACTAAAGTTATAATCAGCAGCAATTACTAAGCCGACCGTTCGTTGAAAACCAACTATGTATCCCTCTATTCTTTCCCTTGAAAGGCTTAAAATATTGACGGGCTGGTTTTTAATCACTAATGTGTGTGAGAGCACACAGGTTGGCAAAGGGTGGACCCCGGCAAGCAAAGCTCCCAGGAATCCTGAGGAGGCAGTGGCTATCCCAGATGCCATGGCAACACGCTGGCCCATCCCTCCCCCACTCGACTCAGAATACCACTTGACCTTAAGCAATTTCCATTTCAATCAGAAGAGGCCACAGAAAGGGTGATCAGGAGGATTAAAAACTCCAAGTTCTCAGTTTTCAAAGGCAGTAGCAGGTCGTCCCCAGGCCTGGCTAAGCCCAGTTTGGGGAGCTTGGGGAGCACAGTGCCCAGGGCAGATCCTCGCGATGGCCTTAGGTGAGCAGGCCGGGCTCAGGGCTGCGTTCAGAGGCCACAGGAGATGCAAAGGGAATGGCTTTGATCTACCCAAGCGTCTGACCAGAATCCAAGTTTGGGCACCTCCCGGGCCTGTAAAAGAAACCATCAGGAATTTTCCTCTCCATTCCAGAGATGAGGAAACTAAAGCGTGAAGTGGAGAAAGATGTTTACTGCACCTTCTGATGAGCTAGAGCAAGACTTGCAGCACGCACTGCTTATGAAGGCCAAGTAGCCTGGGCAGTCAGACTCAAAGATAGTATCTGAATTATTCCCCTCTCCCCCAGCACCCGAACCCGTCCTGCAGAAAGCTGCCAACATGGGGCAGAGGCAGGCACGCTTACAGGGAAGGGTACAGACCTCCCCCTGGGGACCCAGCTACTCTTTTGCTGCTGCGTTTATGTTTTTGGAATAAATCATTTGGTATAATAATAGAAATGAAGGCGCTGGATGAAACATCATGACAGGAAGAGTCCCCACTGGCAACTCAATCAATTCTTTTTCCTTTGGCCTCAATGTCCTCCTGCTCGCAGGCAGATGGAGTCCTGACCCAGCAGAGGGACACGGGCTTCTCTTCTCTTCTCTTCTCTTCTC